TCCCTGCTTCCTGCTGTCTCTAAACTTTAACAGCCTGTAAACATTTCTGACTCCTTAGCCTCCTGCATGGCTGGGAAATTGCAGAGGTTATGGGAGTATTATCTTCTGAAGCTGAGCCAACTTTTAATGGACTTTCAACTCAAGCCAGGACCACACAAAAGAGTGGGATGGCTTCCTCTGAATTGAGGTGACCTGGAGAATATCATATTCAGTCCTCTTCAGAGCTTTACTGAACTCCTGACTCCTGGGATCTGACATAAAATGGCAAATAACAAGAGTGATGTTCACAAAATGTCACAGGATCATGGGTTCTTGGGTAGCTTTTGCTAGAGCAAAACCAAGATAGAGGCTTTCATTCCAGAATTGCAATCTAGAATAAGCTGCTTCACAGAGGTAGCTGCACAACCATGCACATTTGTCTTAGGTTATATTAGGATAACATGTAGTATAACAGGAAGTACATAGATACATTGGTATGTGTATCTGTGTACCACCATCAAGGAAGATAAAGAAATACACCCTTAATAATGGCAGTTGTATGTATCACTGTATTTTTATCTTAAAGTATACACTCTCTATATGATCTAGCTTAGCACGAGACTACAGTACAATGGTTCTTCAGCCACTATGAACACATCTCTATTTTACACTTATAATTGAATACACACCAAACCTGAATACTTTAATGTTCAATTAACTTTCACACCATTGCCTTTAATAGAAGTTAACATTATGCATGACTCACTTATTGCAATCCTGTAAACCTAGGAGTAAACCCCAGAGATCTGAACTTTAGATCTAGCAGTGTGATCTACAACTATTTCATTTTGGACTGAGTGACAATATGCAGCAACTAAGCACTGTCCACCACCCTGTTGCATGAGCTCCCAGACAAGCAAGCTACTCAGCTTTGATAATGCAGTCTGGGAGAAGAGCAGAGAATAAACTTTTCTTACAGGCAAAAGCTTTCTTAGGGGGTAGGAAGGGTGGGCTGATGGGAAAAAGAAGTGAGATGGCTAAAGTTGAGGAGAGTTTGGGGGTAGAAGAGAAGATGATGATTGGCAGCCCAAATGGATTTTAGGCAGTTTGAACTGCTAAAGGCATGCTGGTTCCAGAAGAGCTTGGGGCAAGGCTTCTGAAGGATTCCTGGGTAGGGTCCAGGGAAGATCACTGAAGAAGGGAGATAGCCAGCAAGGGATCTGTCTTCTCAGGGCAGATTGCCTCAGTCAGGGCTGAAGAAAGAAGACCAAGTCCTACCAGTCTGAGAGAGAAGGCTAGCCAATGTAATGAACACTCTCTCATCTCTAACTGGGAAGGGGAAAAACTGTACACCTAAACAACCTCAAGTTCAAGCCAACTAGATTACCCTCAGGAAATCAGTTAACTGAGATACACTGGTGCAAGTAGTAATAAATCACCACCACTTTCCTATTCCTTTATTGCTGAAGCAGAGAAAGGAGGAAGGTGTGAGAAGAAGAATTCATGCTTGTTTAACTGTCTTAATTGAATTCTGCATAAATAGCCTTATAAGCCTGGAAACGAAACTAAGAAATCACAAGATTTTGTGTGCCGTGTGTTGAATCATTTCCCATGGACCCAAAGCCCTTGTAACTGACTGGATTGTGCCTATAGAGATCAATTAAACTGAAACATAGATGTGCCATCAACCTATAATTAGTTTGTGTACTCTGCTTGCAGTGTTGTTATTCCTAACCCATCTGGCTTAAATGCTTTTGTTGAATTCACAATAAATGTTAATAGATCATTCCTACAACACAGAGAATCTGTTGCTCAGAGAATGGTATACATATTTTATAGTATATAGTATTCTCCACAAATATATACATATTTGTTTGCATGGACTAAGGTATGAACAATGGCAAACTTTCCTAATTCCTTAAATTGCCAAAATCATACATTTCCTGTATGGGGTTAGAAAATTTCTAGATTTAATACTGTATAAAGCTGCTGTTTTAGTTTACCACTTTCATAAGTGAAAGGTTTTGCTTCTTTCTTCCCATAAACTGCAAATTGACATTTCCCACTGTCTTAGTACAAAATGAAAGCAGAGTTATATCAGCATTCTTAGAGACTTTCTATTAATTCTCACATAGGTGCTCTTACATTTTTTAATGTTATTAAAATCCATGTGCCTATTGCACTACATTAGGCTCTACGCACCCATAAATCTAAAGCAAGAGGGTTTTTTTTTCCTAATTAAGAATTGGTCACAAATTAGGGTTGAAATAATTTAGTGTGCACTGCACTAAAATAAATATAGTGCTAAGATACATTTCAGTAAATCGTAATACTGATGGCTTGGTTGTTATTACAGGGGTAAGCAACATAGTATCCACTAGTTGTGGTGAACTCCTATGATCTCTTACTGCATGCCATACTGACTAGGGCTAATGAGAGTTGGAATCTAAAACTGGGAGTGGAAGGTCACTAGATTTCCTATATTTGGTGTTGTTGTTGTTTAGTTAAGTCGTGTCCGACTCTTCGTGACCCCATGAACCATATTGCGCCAGGCCTTCCTGTCCTTCACTGCCTCCCTGAGTTTGCTCAGTTTCATGCTCATTGCTTCAGTGATGCTATCTAACCATCTCATCCTCTGCCGTCCTCTTCTCCTTTTGCCTTCAATCTTTCCCAGCATCAGGGTCTTCTCCAAAGAGATCTCTCTTCGCATTAGGTGACCAAAGTATCTGAGCTTGAGCTTCATTATCGATCCTTCCAATGAGCAATCAGGGTTGATTTCCTTTAAGATTGACTGGTTTGACCTCCTAGCAGTCCAGGGGACTCTCAAGAGTCTTCTCCAGCACCAGAGTTCAAAGGCATCAATTCTTCGGTGCTCGGCCTTTTTTATGGTCCAGCTCTCACAGCCATACATTACTACTGGAATATTTGGTGTAGAGCCTGATTAAAAGAAGAGGGACAAATAACTCCTTGGATGTTGCTGACATACAAATCTCAGCTCCACCAGTCAATATGGCCAGTGATCAAAGATTCTGGGAGTTACAGTGACAGGTCTAGTGACAGGTTCCCACCCTTTGGACTGGAGGGCACCCACATTTGGACTAAATAATCATTTAATTGCCTGATAGTCCATCAATTCAGCAGGTCAGATTCAGTGAAGATTCTGCAGAACTGGGCAGTGGGACCTTTCTGGTTACTTCTCTCCTCTACAACCCTCTGTGCCTGCTCTCTTTTCAAAAGAGAGCAGGTCCACATATCCCTTGGCATGATGCCATGGCACCAATGGGAAATTCAAGGAATTTGACAAACTTTTTCAATTGTGCATGGTATCTCTGAATCCAAGTCAGTAGCACTGAAGTCACATTCTGCTTCTGGACTTGACTATGCTTGATTTAATATTCTGAGTTTGTGAAAATGCAGAGTTTTGAAATATTCTCTATATGATACGCATATGAACATTTTGTTTTAACACAGATACTACATCTCAGGTCAAGCTCTTCCATTTGCCCAGCCTGTTTTCTTGTTAAGTAGGAGCTTTTTCTCCAAGTGAAGATTGTAAATGTCTATAAATATTTGTATGATGCCAATTCTGAATAGCCTTTTGTGCAGCATGCATTTTTTTGCCCTTCGTTGACTAGGTGACTAGCTAAATGTGGCCTTTTTAAACACTTGACTGAATATAATCTGTACTCTGTAATTGTTTACAGCTATTTTCCTGTTACTAATGAATTTTCTCTTCCTCAGATATTAAAAACAGCTTTCCATAGACTGTAAATAAATACATTTGCAGGTTCCATTTAAATGTGTTTTTACTGTGATTATTTTGTACAGTGATGCTGTGTATCCATAATACAATTAAAACATTTATTTTGGACTATAAAAAATTGGATAGCTTTCTAAGATCTCATATGCTTCAATTTTCTGAACAAGAAACAACGCTGGATTAGGAAGTATGCTTCAGTCATTCCTCTTTCTAATACTGATATTAGTGTACTGGCAGTGCAATTTTATGCATATCTCCTAAAAGTTAGTTCTACTGAATTCAGTGGGGTTTATTCTCAAGTAAGTGGGTATTAAGAGATGATGGCAGCAATCCACTAACTGTTGCTTGACACTGCTCCGACATACAAATTTCCAAGATATCTTATCCAATTGGGCAATGCCCCCCAATCCTTCTAGTCCTACTTTAACAGATATATATTAATACCTATCACAAAAGTGGTGGATCTTATGAAGAGTCAACATTGTTTGATAGTTGTCAATAGTGACGGACGGGGCTGTGCATATATAGAATGTAGGCAGATATTGGCAGTCTCCAAGAGACTTTTGGTTTTGGTTGGGACAATTTCTTTTCCAAATCAACTCATAAATAATGGCAACTTATATGCACAAATATATCAGCAAGAACTTCCCAAGAGTCCTGCATAAATGACAAATTATGATGTTTACGTTTTGATGAAAATTATTCTAATTACTTTTCAGAATACTTTTGGTTTTATTTTTAAGTTGCTGCTAATGCAAAATTAGTGCAATATGTTTTGTGTTATTTAATTTAGCCATAGTTATATAGTATATTGGCATATACAACAGAAAGTTCAGGGTGGGTGATATGGGTGTTCTTATAACAAATCCCCCCCCCCCCAAAATCACAAAGAGATATGCTATTGCTGGAAATTTAAAAATATGGCAGCTTTGACAGGAGGATTGCTATGTTACTCCAACAAATCCTGCAAGGCAGTTTGGACTAATCAACAAAGGGAGCGGAAAATGCAATATGTTTTCAATAATTTGATCTAGAGCACCAGGGTTCAGTTATCATGGCAAACAGGTGGGGGAAACTATTCAGCTAAGCCCCTCAAAAGAACTGCAGCAAGCACTAAGCCAGAATTAACTGTTCCCAGCTAAAGCCACCCAAGATTTTGGACATACATCTTCTACTAACCAGGTTAAATGAAGTAATTTTTTATTTGTAATTCTTATTCCATGCACCTCAAACTTTTAAGCACTATAGAGTTTTAGAAAGCTAAAAAAAAAAAATTGAAGCCATTTCACTTTTTAACATTTCCATTCTGCAATACAACCATATGTAATGACTCTGGTGCATTAGCTTATAATTTTATTTTTGATTTTTTAATTAGATCTTTGAATCAAAGAAACACCTTCATTTTTATATATGAAGGCAGCTAAATAAAGATTGGGGAAGCATCTTTTTATTTTTGTTTAGTCACCCAAACAATCCTACTTCTGACCCATTATGCGAAGACCTAGCTCTCTGGAAAAGGTTCTAATGCTGGGAAGGTGGAAGAAAAGAAAAGAAGAGGATGGCCGCCAGCAAGGTGGATGGACTTACAGTGGCAATGAGTGCACTATTGGAAGAGCTGAAGGACAGTTTATCATGGAGGAGATCCATTGATGTGATCACTAAGAGTCAACACTGACTTGATGGCACGTAATCAATCAAAATTAGCAAAAATACTAATACTTTGAGAATGTGAGTAATGTCACTAAGAAGGATACATAAGCAAAGGCAAAAAATAAAGACATCAGAAGTAACTAATACACACTTGGTATATCTTAATCCATTGTTGTATGAATTTCAAGTTACTCATCTATTTTAGGGATGGACTAAGGCACCTTCCCCTGTTGCCCCTGAGTTAACTGTTCAGGAGATCCTCTATATACCTACAGAGAATGAAATGAGATGGTTAAATAGCACTTTACAAATTATTAATCCTGGTAAGGTCCAACTAATTAGAGCACCTTAATTAGAACTGAGAGGCTATATTCTAAGATCTTTACAGAGATCTTCTAATGGGGTATTTTAACTCACATTTCTGTAGTTTTGATTCTGAATTACAGCCTGTAGACATGACCAATATCCCACATATTTATAAGTTTATTTTTGTCTTCTTTTGGAAGTAATCCTATTGGAGTGTCCAGTGATGACATCCATTAATGCCTCTTCTGCTCACAGAAAAATACTACTGGATCTATCATAAAACAGAATCCCTGATCATGCCCCATAATTCTAATGTCAGAAAGAAGATATATTTTAAACAATGCAGCAAATATCTCAAGGTCAGGTATCATCTCTGATTACCACAAAGTGCATCTTGTTACCCAAAGTCTTCCCCAATCTTCCACCCTCCAGACGTATTGGTCAGAAATTATGGGAATTGCAGCCCAACACATCTGGAGCCATCAATCTGCAGAAGGTTGGTCTTGCAAGCTGCACACCTCTCAAGCACATATTATGAAAGTAACGCTTATTCCAGATTCCCATAGTGATCCCATTATTTTCAAATGATCAGATGATATGCTCTCTGTAATTAAGCAGCCAGGTCATACCAAATTATCAATCAATTTTGAAAGTGAGAAAAGGCAAATTTCTCCAGCAACACACATGATATTGATAGGTTCCAAATTACAGCTATACGCAGGCAACACTTACTACTAAGGCTGACTTTTGATGATTTACATCATTAAATACTTAAAGCATAAGACCTCCTTGCCAATTTTTCTTTTTTGAAACAAAGCTTCACTGCTAGTGAAAAAAAAAACACCTGCTCTATTTTCTGCTCGGCACTAGGTTCCCATTTCAGTTTGCTTGCTTCATCAACATCCTAGACTCATTCCCTAAACACAAGTTTAGAAATGCTAAAGTCTTATATCAGAATCTTCTAAGCTAAAATCATAGCTTATACCATGGCCCTAACAACAGTTTTTGATGTCTGAAGTGCACAGAGTTATGGCCCCACACTAGAAACAAGAATTAATACAGCCCATATAGAAACAAGAATTAATAAATGGGACATTTTTTCAGTGAGCATGGACCTCAAAAGCTATCTGCTGGCTAGATTTTAAAAAAGAAGCAAAGCTCATTCAATGGCATGCACACAAACCTTATAAACACAGTAATGGAAAAGCTCAATTGTTTAATGCTAATGGTATAGCAGGAAGTGTACCAACAGAAAGAGACAGTAGTTGTCTGTTATGGACCAACTGGTACCTCCTTTTTATGAAAAGGTGAATCAACAATTGCAAACTGTTAGCTATCTGCCTTAGTTCCTTCTGCAGTTTAACTAAGCAGAAACAGTAATACAAAGGAGAGGATGCTAGAATGGATAGTCACACTGGTGGAAATCCCACGTCAGTTTTATCAACTGCTTCCAAGCAACCAGCTGTTCCTGCCATGTCTCAGCTGCCCACGTCCAAATGCAGTTCTAAGTTGTTATGTGAAAACTAAGGGAATTGCAGCCATTTGAAATCTCTGAAGCAGGAGTCACAGGCCTTTAAAACTGAAGGATTTTCTAAGCTGAGATCATTAAAGATCTAGAGAATAAAAGGTACGAGATCCTTTTCATTAAAAAAAATGAAAAAGAAATTGAATTGTTGATTTTGTTTGCTGTGTTTATCAAAAAGAGTGATTTTCTACTCTCTTTTTTGGATGAACAATCTTAATACTAATATACTTGCTACAGCTGTCTACTGTGTTGAAGTGTAAAGGTTAAATGAAGAAGTTCGCCAAGTGAGAGGCAGAGGGTGGTATTACTTTTCTTTCTTTCTTCTTTCTTTCTTTCTTTCTTTCTTTCTTTCTTTCTTTCTTTCTTTCTTTCTTTCTTTCTTTCTTTCTTTCTTTCTTTCTTTCTTTCTTTCTTTTTTTACTGGTCTTCCATTTTGTTGCTGCTCTTGAATTTAACCACCATGACTGTAATGTTGTCAGGGCATCCCCTATAAAAAGACTGGAGCACTATACTCTTGGCTCCAAAATGTGGCTCATCTAAACGTTCTTTGATGAACCGCACTGCTTCCTCGTTACTGAAAGCATCCCAGAGCCCATCAGAAGCTAAGATCATGAACTCTGGCTGGAGTTTGTCCAGGTCAAAGGTCAGGATATCTGGATCAGGGATGACAACATTCAGATTTTTCAACGGGTAATCCCCAAGAGAACGAGACATGGCCAGGATCCCCTGAACACGCCAGGAACCGTTGAAACTAATGAAGCCACCTGGAAGAGAGAGAGAAAAAACCTATTAAATGGTGTTTATTGGAAATTGTTCTCAGAAGCTTCCATGCTACTGGGTTATTAAATCAGTTAGGAAAACTGAATAACTTCACAATTTTTTTTCTCAAGAAAATCCTTTCCCATAACATACCAGGGTGTCTGTTGCCAAGACACAGGAAGGAAACCTGGCTTTTCAGTTGCTCCTTTTCTTCTTCAACATGGGGAAAGGATTCTGCTACTTAAGGCAAATATAGGCAGAAAGCCATCACTATTTGCCTCTTTCTACACCAAAAATCACCAAATATTTTGAACCAGTAAGCACATCTGGAATTTTGAGAGCATACTGTGGACACAAAACATCCCTTTACTATACAATAAACTGGTGAAGCTGCTCCCTGTATCTCATTTAGTTCTTTCAGATATTTTGTCTTTTTAATGGCCAGATGAGTGGACTTCTAAACAAAGCACCCTGCTGTAACCACTGATGTTTTTATTTTTTAAAATTGCCTTTTGTCTGTGTGAGATCTAGAGACTTTCTTTAGAAGACAATTCTTGAAGCTGAATATTTGCTTTGCAACATACCAGTTAGCTTCCCCTCTTGAAAAATACAATGCTAAAAGGGCCAGTGCAATCTTGGGTTGCATTAACAAAAGCACTGTGTCACAGGAGATAATAGTTCAATTGTACTTTCAGCTGGCTAAACAACACCTGGGAGTATTGTGCCCAGCTTTGGGCACCGCATGTTAAAAGGGTCATAGAGAAACTGGTTCAAAGGAAAGCTACCAAGATTATAAGAGGTCTGGAAACAAGCCCTACAAGGAATGGTTAAAGGAGTTTACCATATTTAGCTTGCAAAATAAGACTGAGAGATGATAGCAGTCTTTTTGAGTGTATGCGCATGCCTCTGAGTCAACCTTGACTCCTTGCAACTACATGGACAAGTCCATGCTATTATCTAGGCAACATTTTTGAGAAATGGTTTGCCATTGCCTTCTTCTTAGTGCAGAAAGACAAAGTCTGGCCCAAGGTCACCACCCAAGGTGTTTACAAATATCTAAAAAAGAAAAACAGGAAGAGTGACCTGTTCTCTGCTGAAACCAAAGGAAGAACAAGGACCAAGGGGTGAAATTAAAGGAAGTCCAGGATGAATATTACAAGGAATTTCTCAACACTAAGACCTGTGATGCAAAGGAATAATCTGTCTAATGCTGAGCTCTTTCTCACAGGAGGTTTTCAAAAGGGGGTTTAGTTTTGAGACTAAAACTAAGTTGGGGATGGTTTAGTGGATTTAGGCACTGAGCAGAAGGTTAGATCCCCCCCCCCCGAAAAAAACTCTATAGATCCTTTACAACTCATACATTTTGTGATTCGAATTTTTAACAAACAGAATACCGCCCAGAGTCACTTGTTGAGGAGGGTGGCTATAGAAATGAAATCAAATACATACATACATACATACAGTATAAACAATACATGAGGTAGCACAAAAAGCTTGACAGATGCTATGGGTGATGTTGCTGTGCTCCCTTGTGTTACGTGACCAGGCTTACAATCCAGTGCAGAAGGGTTTGGCTGAAATGATGGGGACTTCCTCTTCCCAAAGCTCTGAATCCTGATACACAATCCCTAGTGCAGGTGTTCCTTCCTATACTAATTTTGTCTGTGGGTCTTACATGCATAAGATTACAGTGTAAAAAGAAAATGGATTAGGGAAAAAAAAAACATATTCGGTAGCACGTGTGATTAATGAGACCAGAGTTGATAGACTGGGAGAATATCCCTTTCTATCTCAGATCTATTGGAATGAATCATTTACTGTTATGTATCTTGTATCTGATGCAGAAAGTACAGGGAATCCAAATGTTGCCATGAGGGGTTGGATTAAATCAGTATCCATGCTGGTGGTATTGAAATGGTAGACAGATGGATTTCCGTAGGCAGATTCATCCATATACAGCATATGACAAATTGCTGAACAGCAAGAAAACTCAACCTTCATCTCTGTTGTTTGCAACATAAAGGAAATCTTCTTGCCTGTGCTCAGGCAATCTCCCTCTCATTTTAATCATGCACTGTGTATCCCCCTGGGAGAATTCAAGAAGAGGTTCACGCTCATTTGCAAAGATTTATAATGGAACTGGGATATCCAACTAGTCTTATAAAAGTCAAAAACTCACTCCGGGGCATGAAGAAAAGCACATACAAACAAAGGCTTATCTTTCTCATAAAAAAAAAACCTCTGGTTGAACAGTAGCAGTAATGATCCAGAAAAAAAGTTATGAAAATAATAATCCCTTGCTTTATTAGGCACCAAAAGGAAAGCAATAAATTCCCCTGGCACATTTTACAACTCTGTCTTAATTGGAAAAAACAAAATATCTTGTGTGAACATCCCCTGAAACTTCAGCCCAGTTCAAATTATGAGTTGGGCCCTTGGAGCTGAGCCTCTGAGAATGCTTATAAGGCAGTCCTCATTTAGCAACTGCCTCATACAGTGACCATTCACAGTTATGAAGATGATGAAAAAGTAACCCTGTGACCAGTCCTCACAATGACGACCTTCACAGGTCTGTAAAGCAAAGGAAAGCTGAAGTAAGATCATAAGCACAATTGAGGTTTCACTTAGTGACCGCTTCGCTTAACAGCCACATTGCTGGTCCCAACTGTGGTAGCTAAACGAGGACTACCTGTAATGTATTCATGTTATTGGACTGTATATAGATATAAATAGCAATTGCTATACTGTCATGAAAAGTTTTTCTCTTCCACTACTTATCCCAACATAGTTCACAATAATCCTAAAAGCACCCAAAGTATGAGAGTTAAAAACAATCCATTAAATGATAAATATCATGAGGATGCAATACTATGGAAAGCTAAAATATTTTATAATACGTCCCCACCACTTAAAACATGTGGAAGGGAAATCCTCTGGGTCTTCATACCCTGATTCTGTCTGCAGATTTATATTATGTAAGATAAGGTTACATAAGGAAGAAGAAAAAAGAAAGAAAGAAAGAAAAAACTTCTTGGCCCAGTGTGTGAAAACAAAGATGTTCTGGCAGAGTTTTTGCTTCATCCAGCTCAGCTGGCCATCTCCACTTGCCTGTTGCCTTCACTTGGAGATAAAACAAGTGAAGGGGCAGAAGCTTGAACTCAGATGAATCTCTGTTGTTCTACAGTGAGAAAGGGCTTTATCGTTATTCTACAAAATCTTTCATTCCTTTATTGCACTCTTTCTCCCATGCAGCTCCCTTCCCCCATATTTTGTTTATTTTCTGGTTCTTTTTTTTTTTGTATCATCTTTTATTATTACAGTTGACCTTTTCTCTTTTGTTATAGTTTACACATATTTCACTTGTAGCTAATTAAATAAGTCAC